TGAAGTTTAACATCTTGTCATTACAGTTAAATATTAATACAGTGTTCAGCTTCAGTCATTTTTCAATTATCTAAAAAGAAGTACTGCTACTTCTGTATATGAGCATTAAAGAAAGTAAAAGAAAATACTTAATTCCCCTCCATGTTTCTTAAAAAAAAAAAAAAAAAAAAAAAAAGGCAAAGTTTTAAAAAGAGAGCATAAGCTATTATAGAACTTTGCCCTGCAACAAAGTTTATCTATTCAATTTGTTCAAGAGAAGGTTGTGTTTTTAAATGACCTCTAACCACCCATATGGAGGTATCAGTTCCTGTAGAGCTTCCTATAATGAAATGGCAGACTGGAAACTGATGCTAAAGAAATTCATGCTATACATACATGAAGCAACTGAAGCAAGTGGATCTAAAGGTTTAGGAGTTTTCTTGTTTTAATGTCTCAATTTGAAGATTAGATGTCTTTCTAAATTTACGATCTGGTTGAACCTTACTGCAAGGATTATCAGTCAGTGCTCTATCGCTCATGTTTAGAAGGGACTCAAATTAGCTAGAACATAACAGCTCCTTCTGTTCTTAAAATCTTACAGGGTGAATCATCCAATCACTTTTCCACCAAACCCACAGAAGATAGGAATGAATATTTCTGAGGGGGAAAAAAAAGCAAATAATTCCTCTAAAAAACCACACACATCTTTGAGGACTTTGGTAGTATCTTGAAAATAAAAAAAAAATGCATCTGCAATCTCATGTCACTTTTGAGAAAAAAAAATAGAGAAAATTGCTAAAATGATTTAATGCCAACAGCACTTGTGACCCAGTCCTCACAAGCAGAGTTTTCACAGAATAACAGAATGTTTTGGGCAGTGAGGGGACCTCAAAGATCATCAAGTTCCAACCTCCCTGCTGTGGGCTGGGCTGGGCTGCCAACCACTAGAGCAAGCACTACATCAGGCTGCCCAGAGCCCCATCCAGCCTGACACTGAGCACCTCCAAGGATGGGGCACCCACAGCTCTCTGGGCAGCACCTCACCTCCCTCTCAGTGAAAAACTTTCCTGACATCTTATCTAAATCTCCCTCCTTTAGTTTAAAGACATTCTCACTTGTCCTATCACTATCTGCACATGTAAAAAGTTGGATTTCCTCCTGTTTTATAATCTCCTTTTAAATACTGGGAAATTACTGGAAGTTTTGTGCAGTGTTGGCTTCACTCCTGCCCTTTTAACCTAACAACTTAACTTCTTACTCTCAGACTTCTAACATTTCGTGTTTTGTTCTTTTTTTTCCCTTCTGACAGACCAGCTAACTTCAAGGTCACAACACAGTCTGACAGTGGAAATCAGCATGGTGCCAGTCCGTAACTTGGGCACACGCTGCTGGCACTAAGCTCAGTGCTGCATGCTGAGCCTGATAATGGGCATTACAACATTTTAAGACCCAACCTTCTGCAACCTGCATCAGTACTGCAGCATTTTTTGCATTTTATGAGTAAATTCATGTGATAAACAGTATGAAACTCTTGGGCTAAACAGGCAAAAGGCAATGTACAAGCTTGATTTCAGCTTCAGGAAAACTCCTGTGGAAATACCTGAAGGGTGATGTTTTTAAAAGGTCCTTTAAGAGATTTACGAGTCTTAATGCTTGCTGTCAAAGTGACTGGTCAGGATAAGACCTGTTCAATTTGTTGATAGGCCTGAGTGTGTTTGTGTGGCCCACCTCAGGGTCCACTGCAGGCTCATGGAGGTGAGGGAATGCAAAAGCAAGCTGCAAGCATGTCTGCAATTTAGTCTGAGGCTCTTCCCAAGTGGTACCATTTGGAGGCAGACGTGAGCCCTTGCCTGCCTGGCTGCCCACAGCTGCAGGTTTATTCTTAGTGTTTGGAACGTCAATTCCCACAGACAGGAATGGTTTCATTTAGCTAGGAAATAGATTTTCTCCACCACACATTTTACTGTGGATAGGCAGTTTACTGATGAGGTGAACAAGGCGTCCAGTAATTTCCAGTTTCATCTTCCGAAGCTCACCTGAGATATGGATAAGACTTGCCTGGACTGGACTTCTCCCCCAAGTTCAGTAATTAACTTACAACTACATGTAGTACAGTATGTTTCATTATGAAACTCTACTGCAGGCATTTATGGGAGAACATACTCCCATAACTCTTCCCTAATAACTGCAGTTTTCCCAAGACACAGTTGCACTGTTATGTGAAAGAAGCACAAGATGATGCTGAACACCCACTCTGCAAGCTCAACATGAAAAGCAAGTGCTGTGGAGTGCTCCATTTAAGCTCATGGGCTGCACTGATAACAGGTGTTCAAGTTGCCATGTTAGTTGTGAACATACACAGCTAAGCCAAGGAAGCACTGAGATGTGCAAAGTGGCTTTACAAGCTTGAATCTTCGTAAGCTCTGGGTCCTCTATAACCTGCCTCAGGTATCAGAGCAGGTTTTCGAGTTAGTCATCAACAGCAGAATAAATTCAGACAAACACCAGGGTCATCAAAAGATCTGACATTTCTTCCTGCATCAACTAAGACTGTAAAGTGTAACTCTCTGACATATTTACCTAAAAAAATTCAGAACAATATGATTGCACATGCTAGAAAACTACTTCCAGATATTCCAGTGCACAGACAGCTTGGAGAACAAACACATACTGAAAATTTACATGCTGTTTCATGAGATGGAGTTTAGATCCTAATATAACAAGAACGTAATTCAGCCCAGAAGACCAAGGTTTCTACTTCTTTCAAAACTGATGGATTATACTTGGCTCATTTTGCCTTTAATATTTCTACTATAACTCTGAATATCCTGGATGATACTGATCGTCTTCCTTTTCTGCCTCCTTCTTTTGGCTACATGTCACTCAAATACATGCAAACTTTTGCTCATTCTACCTACTAAACCTTGCTCATTCAGGCTATTCATCTAAAACATTATTGTAATTGCTCTTCTATTTTTAACCTTCCATATCTTTAGGTTATTCTTAAGCATTACAGGTTTCATCCTGTGTTCCCCAATAAGGTCACATTAAAATGACCTTATTGCTCAGATCCTTACATAGTACAAATGATGACTGCTTAGCTGAAGTCCATGAAGGAACACCCATTTATGAGATCTGTCTGTTCATTATCTTGATTTCTGTTGACTGATCTTTTAATGAAAATGAACACACAATTGAAAAACTGAAATGGGGATAAGACGGAATATATCATGAAGATAAACATGTTTTCTCCCTTGCGGAACACAAGGATTTCACTTGAAAAAGAACCCCGAGGGAAATTAGGACGTGTCAACAGTATTCAACTAGCTTGTAAATGAAGTATAATATATAATGAATTTCTGTAAGCAAGCAAGCAAATATACATGGATTAATGATGCTATAAGCAACAATCTATTGTTTGTAACAACATACGCAAAATTTTCTTTCAATCAAGTGCCAAAGTTTAACTCACTTTTTGCATTATGGGAATCACTCAATCTTCCCAAGTAATGTGGCTGAAAACATTTATCATTTCATATACAGGTCCACTGTAAGTTCAAATAGCTTCATGTATGATCTTGAAAGAGCTGTAACATGGACTGAGCAGCGAAGAACAGATACTCATTCCCCCACAGATTTGATAATGCTAGTATACTGCACTTGACAACAATATCAGCAATAAATTGCATATAAACATGGAAAGTCAGATAGCTTATGAATGATTTATACAGAGGTAAGGAGGATAAGCTTCCTTCTCAGGCTAGTCTGACAGCATCCACACCATGAGAGAAAACATGTAAGCTAAATAAAGCTTTTTACTACTATGGAGAAATTACTATTCTAGTGCTCCTATGGGTGAAAGACCAAGGTAATAATACATGGAAGTCCTAATGAAACAAGCAGAGCAGTCAGACAACTTAAGGTATCTCCAAGAGTCTTATATACTGTACCTCCCTGACAGCCCAGTAAAACAATAACAATAGGTGATGCATAAAATAGAACTGGGGATAGAATCCTTTCACCCTTGAAGCCAACGCAAAAGTTTCACTGTTTTGGGAATGAGGATTCACTTGAGTGCTTTTATTTTTAAGTATTTACAGTGAAGAGGTGACTAGTTCACAGCACTCAGCTCCTCTATCTGCTGCATGCTTTAAAAAATGTTTTCAAAAAAAGATTTTAAGAGCTGTATTTAGCAAGTAGCTCCACTGGCTTCTTATGTATTAGAGGAACCAGTTAATGATTAAAATAATGATGATTAAAATGAATAATTTTGTTGATTGCCATCATTGTTGCTGGCTTGTCTCCAGATATTTATATTTCCTTTTCCTCCCTCTGTTCATCCCACACAATCTTCCCTCCATGGCTCACTGTGGCCACAATTAATGTGAGGACTATCTCTTCTTCTTCCTTCCCCCTCACTGCTTTTTTCCAAGACTTTACTGAAATTCACAGTTTTTTTAAAAATAATATAGCAAGCAATGCTTACTGTTTCATTCAAGTATGTAATTTAAGAGAAAGAGACTGAATCAATACAATTACACAATGAAAAAACACACAACACGATTTTTTTTGTTTTGCCCGCATGTATATCTATAAAAAAATGGCAGCAAAAAATATTTTCTAAAGCTTGTAGTCTTTCTGAGGGGAGCCTGTTAAAATCCAAGGGAATCTGTCATTGCAAATGATGGAATCCCAGATGAGAAGAGTAGGGATTAGCCTGACAAAACATCTGCCTATGTCAACACACAGTGCCAAGTGAAACAAAGCTCCACTAGACTGATCCAGGCAGCTTAATGTCTGCACTCTGCCACCACCTCCCCCTGACAGCTGGGCATGCTTGCAGAGCATGTCTGCTTCTTCCTGATACTGCTGAAAGACTGAAAATCTCTTTGCAACTGTGGCTCTGTAACAGTTCTGCCTTAGCACTTCACACCAAAAGCATGCACAGTGCTATAAATGCTTTGCCTTCCTTGGCTGCAAATAGATACGGATTATAACTCTCACAAGACAGTGTTACTTACTTGGGATAGCGCCTCTGCTGAAAGATGGGCAGAATCTCTGCATCTTGATTTGACTGTAGAAGCAGTAAATCCCGAAATCTTTCTGTCAGGACAAAGAAAAAAATAAAACAAACCCAGACTGTGACTCTGCATTTTGTGTTCAGGCTACCAGTAAGCAAGCACTAGTATGAGTGAATTCCCTTCTCCAGCACTGATTATCAGCAAAGGGTCAAGCTAAGTTTGTAGTGAAGAAAATCAATATATTCACACGGACAAAACTTCTAGGACTAGAAATCGCTCTTTCCTATAAACTCCTTTACTGCTATTTTAAAATGTCTTGTTTTTTATTTCCACATAATGCTGAATTCCAATAGTACTCTGAGGTTTCTGAGGTCTGCATATACAGGTATCATACACAGCAAGAAATTGTCCCTGCACTGAAGAGATCAGTCTAAACACAAAGAAGGAACAACTAAGAATTCACCAAGCACTCTAAATGAACGTAAATTAATTCATCAAAATTAAATCAACATGTAAGTCCTTGGGTAACTGACTCACTGACATTTCTAAGGAAGACTGAAAGAGTGCAATGGTTTTTGCTCATTACCATTGCCTTAGTTTCAGCTATGATGTAATTGTTTTCTTCAGAGTGCTTGGTATGATGCTATGTTTTGGTTCTAGGAGAAAAACAATGTTGACAACACATCAGTGGTTATAGTTGCTGCTAAGCAGTGTTATACAGAGCCAAGACCTTGATAGAGAATGGCTGAAGTACCTGGAAGGGAACAGAATTAGGACAGCTGACTTAAACTGGCCAAAGGGATATTCCATATCATATAGTATCAAGTGGGAGGAGTTTTGAAGGGCACAGGCATTCATCTCACTCTCTTCTGCTGCTTGAGGGGGGATAGCTGAGCATCAGTCATGGAGTAGTGAGCAACTGTGCATCATTTGTTATATACGTGTTATAGACATGTATGTAAACACAGATAGTCCTAACCATTATCCTTTTATCTATCATAGTAAATAGTTTTACCTCAACCCACAAGTTCTATTTATTTTTTCCAATTCTCTCCCTCACCCCACTGGGAAAGGGGTGGAGGGAGCTAACTGCTGTGTGATGCTCAGTCACCTGTCAGGTTAAACCACAAGGACTATGTATTTGAAAAAGTGAACCACAGGGTCATTTGCAGTAGCTAAGTTATTTGTAACTTGGCTTCTCTGATCAATAGCTGCGGGGACAGCTGCTTTGGATAGCAGCTGCCCTTAATTGATGTTCTAGAGGTAGCTCAATTCAAAACAGAAGTGGGATCTGTACAAGCTTCTATTAGTATCAGTTTCTCAGTTTGCTGTAGATGGAAAGCTCCTCAAATCATCTTGATAGAACACCTATATACCTTAAAGGCTTCAGCTACAGAGTTTAAGCCTCCATCATCTGCTGAGCCACTACTGTTTTTAGCCTGTGTTGTAGCTGAGCTACAAGTTTCTCTAAACTAGCCATCTTTTTCATATACCACTCTCATTCTGGGAAGTGAACTTCCAACAAATGTAGACCTTCCTTCCTCGGTATTCCTAAGTATCTCAAAATATCCTCCAAAATAAGGTTTACAGGTAAGGATATCAAGGGACAGAGAATCAACGAAGATGAATCTTCCAGCTCAAAAAAGGAGTAATTTCCCACTTTTTACAGTTTAGCATGTGATGGTTTTCATTAATTTTTATGTACTATTATGTAATCATAGCTAAAATAAATCAATTTGGATACAGTTCTACTAAGTAGCATTTAAATGAAAAAAGTCACCTCTGCTTCATAAATTATATTACTTTGATGAAGGAACAATAAATTCAAAATAAAAAGTGTCTTGGTAAAGGCTCGGTTGTAAAGGTCAAGCCTCTCTGATGGTATGACCTAGTCTTCCAACAGCTGGCTGGGAATTTTTGCAAACATCTCAAAGAAAACTCCAGCAAAGAAGAAACAAGCATTAATAGTTGCTACCTTCATTTCTACATCTCTTCAAATTCAATTTTGAAGCATATGTACCTGTAAAATTCTTAACACATCTTCAAAAGTAGCTCTTAGATCTTCCTGTATCTGCCTGGGACAGAGACAGGATGTGGCCAACAATGATAAATATAATACTGTAAAGATGGAAACGAAATTCATTGGGCATTTGTCAAGGAAGATCCTACTCACTGTCTTGACAAAAACCTGGCCATTATCGTTTTTTACCTCCTTCTGAACTTTCAAGAAGAGGCAAAGATTCTTTTTATTGCCAGTCCCCTGACATGGCAGTATGCTGCATGCAGGCATGCTGTCATCCTTCCAGATGGTAAGCTATGATCTTCGAACGCCGCGAGACAAGAGATGAAAGATTTAACTAGTGCAAAATATCCAACTGTTTATGTGTCAGAGCAAGCACATTAACCTCCTCCCCCACCTCAGGAATCCTCATGTATTTTTCATATCTCCCAACACAACTCAAGTTACTGGTGCCACTCTAGAAACTCTTTATAAATAGGCTTCCTATGACAAAAGTAGCCTTTGTATATGCCTGGTGGAGGAGTGAGAGGAAGTTTTCAATGGCAAACATTGAACAAGAGGATCTCCCTCTGTGACTTGAGCGTTTTGACCTTCAGTACACAGTTTCAGTCACGCCTATGAAGGATTTGATTAATAAAATGTCTTCTTTGTGCCTGATCTATTTGTTTTTAGCACATACAACCAGGTGAATAACCAGCGGAAAACACTGAGACAATCTCAGTTCAATACTGTGCAACACTACAGTACATTTAAGTGTGTCAGACTGCTCTGGCAAATGTTACAAGAGCCTGTAATTTGGGAGGGACTAAATTCATCTCATGTAGGGAGCAGCTGTGTCCCACACCAGCATTCTACCTGCATCAAGGCTGGGTTCCATCTCCAATCTCTATTCTCTGACTTCTTCGTAGGGTGCTGCCCTTTCTCCATGGCCTGGTCTGCAGGCATTCCGTGACTCAGTTCAACAAGCTGCCATCTTGAAAATATTTCAAATAGCAATGCGACAGGGTTGGCGAATATTGGGACTGAAAGCAGCCAAAGCATCTGGAATTGGCTTAAACAGCCCTCCTACAGGATCATGTTTTAGTTAAACTCTTCTTTTTTTCTTTTTTTTTTTCCTCTGTTCTATGGCAAATTTCCCAGGCAGATGTGTTTTCTTTTCACCATATGAATTTATCCATTTTTCCATGGCAACACTCATGCTTATATGGTAGTATTCCACCTCATTTCATATACATCCTACAACTTATTCCAGTACATGGAATACTATATATCTTAAGAAAAACTGCACACTGAACAGAACTCTTTCGGATTAATTTCTCCATAGGATCATTATGTACACGATTCACCCTTCAGGACTATGATATTTTCTATTACACATGTGCACACAGTGCGAAAGTCAAATTGGTACAAATGACACCGTTGCTTTTAAGGACAATCCAGCAATGTGATGAAGGAAGTGATGAGAGCTTCAGCTGCGACTGACAAGACATAGGTACATTTGATGCTTCTGCAAGCATGTATCAGAAGCCTAAAGCACAAAAAGGGAAGGTTTTTCAAATTGCAGTAACAGATAAATAAACGAACAAAAGCAAACAACCAAAAGATCACAACATCTTCCAAGACAGACAAAGGTGGGAGATAAAGGGGACAGGGGGATTTCAAAAGAGGAAGATAGAACAGTTTTGCTGGAAGGGACCTTCAGAAATCATCAAGTTCAATTGCCTGACCTCTTCAAAGCTAACCAAAACTTAAAGTGTATTATCTAAACGTCTCTTGAACTGAAAGGTACAGGACTTCAGCCACTTCTCTAGGAAACTCATTCCAGTGTTTTGCCACCCTCACAGTACAGAAATGGAACTGGAAAAACAGAATAGTCGTATCAGTTGTAAAGCACAGAACATTGCGGTCCAGAAATCTATTTGTCTACCAAAAGATCTATCTGTATAATTATACCTATGAAAATTTAGCAAACATGTTTCTGTAATTAACCTTGGGTTTCTGCTGTCACTGGAGACACAAATCTCAGCTCCATCTTTCACTACATGGACATATGTAAACTCTATTATTTCTACCTAAAAACATCCAACTCTTGTTTTGCAAAATGCAGATTAGTCTGGAACCTTCTAAGTTATGGATGCCTCCTCAGTGCCTTGGAACAATAAAAAAAATAATTAGGTCAGCTTTCTTAAAACTGCCAACGGCATTAGAAAAGATTTGAGACCCACTAATCTGTCTTGTTCTCAAGGTCTGTAAGTTTGGAAATACTGTCATAAGCACTTCCTCGGTGCTTTGAAAAAAAGAAAAAGCATTTAGGGAGAAGCCTTTGCCAGTGAAGGGCTATAAAATATGATGAGTAACAAAATGGGATAAAAACCGAAACATCCAGTATTTTACTTTGACCTGTGACTTATTAATGGTCAGAATTTCTGAAGTAAAGGAAGTGTCACCTTCTCACCTTCTGCATGAAGAGCCACCATCCTGTATTTGATCTGAATTAGTATCTGCGTTTGATGGCCAGAAGTTCTGCTACTGACAGAAACTGCGGTGTGAGCCTTCCTACTCACTATTCTGTTGTTATGCACGGTTTGGTACACACTGTTTTCCTAAATTATCTTTTTCCACAGCCCCTTTGTACTGAGTTGTCACCTATTTAGAAGCCTTTTCACGTTTTTAAACACTTCCATCACTCTTCCTTGAAGCTTGTCCACTCGTAATATATGCTGTTTGAAACAAAGAATCAAACCTGCATATGGGATTCAAGGCTTGGGAGCACCAACGAGGTCCACAGCAGCACTGCAATCTCTCTCTACATTATTTTCTGCTTTTCTCGTATTAATTCTCTCCAACTGGGCACAATGTTGATGTCTTCATGGAAATAATTGTCATAACTCTGCAGTGTCATTCGTGGGCTATTACAGTCACATCACTTCCCATCATCAAATAGATTAAACATTAGCATGCACCCACATGCATATATGTACTGGTATTTTTAGCCAGGTCTATAAATAGGTTCATAAGTTAATATATTCTATACATATTCATTTGAAGAAGTACAAGTGCTC